GGCACGTGTGACCCCCCCCCCCTCAGCGGGCCGCGGGCGGGAGCAGCTGCCGTTGCCCACAAAGGTTACGGCAAGAAGAGGAGGAGGACAAGGCTGCCCTCCTCCTCTGGCCAGTCCCGTTTCGTGTCGGGCTGATTTATTTATTATTTATTTATTTGGTTAATCTGTATCCCGACCTCCCTGCCAGGCAGCCTCAGGGCGACTTACAGTTAAGTGCGCAGATTTTAATCTGGGAGAGCCGGGTTTGATTTCCCACTCCTCCACTTGCACCTGGCTGGATGACCTTGGGCAAGCCATAGTTCTGATAAGAGCTGTCCTTGAAAAAGAGCCGTTTCTGTCAAGAGCTCTCTCAGCCCCACCTGCCTCACAGGGTGTCTGTTGTGGGGAGGGGAAGGGAAAGGAGTTTGTCAGCCGCTCTGAGACTCCTCTGGGTAGTGAAGGGCGGGGTATAAATCTAATCTCTTCTTCTTCCTCCTCCTCCTCCTTCTTCGTGGCTTTCCATTCAAGTACTAAGCAGGCCTGATCCTGGTGTAGTGGTTAAGTGTGCATACTCTAATCTGGGAGGACCGGGTCTGATTCCCCACTCCTCCACTCACAGCTGCTGGATGACCATGGGCAAGCCATGGTTCTGATAAGAGCTGTCCTTGAAAAAGAGCGATTTTTGTCAGAGCTCTCTCGGCCCCACCTACCTTATAGGAGGGTGTCTGTTGTGGGGAGGGGAAGGGAAAGTAGTTTGTAAGCCATTCTGAAACACCCTTGGGTAGTGAAGGGCGGGGCATAAATCCAATCTCTTCTTCTTCTTCCAGAGTATATATAAATATATTAAAACGGCGAGAGACATTAAAACTAATGATAAAGTTAAAACCACAACATGTACAAACAAATGCCAGCAAGCATAGTACTAATAAATGGTGACGACGTTCTCTCAGCATCTAGATGGTCAAACCACCAGCATAGCCAGCGTTCTTGCCAGTCTATTAGATATTAAGTTGGTGCTGATATTGGGGGGGGGGTGTCTCAATGTTAAAGGCAGCCCCTAATCAAAGGCCTGGCGGAAGAGCTCCGTCTTGCAGGCCCTGCGGAACTGTAAAAGGTCCCGCAGGGCCCTGATGTCCTCCAGGAGCTCATTCCACCAGTGTGGAGCCGCCACTGAAAAGGCCCTGGCCCTCGTCATGGCTAGCCTTGCTTCTTCTTTTTTTTGAAAAAGCTTTATTCCCTCCTAAAAAGGAGAGATATTTCATTTAAATTCAAGAAAAAAAGGGGTGGGTATATAGCGGGATAAAGAAAAGGATGAGTGGTGTTGTTATATTAGTAAGGTTAATCTGTTAGTAGTCAAAACTCCGAGTCCATAATGTCCATCTTCAGACGTCCTTCTGCCAGTCAATGTTAAACAAGGTATTTAGTTTATTAGTAATGTCCTTCTGAGAAAATTTTCTTCCAAAGTATAATCTGATAAAAAAGACGAAAGTTTTTAAACTTTGGGGTCCTTTCCTTTTTTCTCCCTCAGGTTATATTTTAGTCCAGTCGCTCCTTCAGCTTCCTCGTCCTTCACCTCTCCCTCTGAGCTGCTGTCTTCCACGCTTAATATTGACATCGGCTAGCTCTGCTCCTTCTTCTTTACTGGCGTGCCTTTTCAAAAATTCTTGAGCTTTAAAGATAGAGTCAATTTTTTCCCTTTTATCTTTAAACTTGAACATCAGCCCTTCGGGTATCAGCCATTTATATCCCGTTTGGTGTTTTTGTAAGAAAATGGTCAAACCTTTATATTCCTTTCTCTTCATTCTGATTTCAAACGGAACATCTTTCAAAATTCTAATTGATTGTTCTCCAATTTTCGAAGGTGACGCTGATGTAATCCTCAAAATTTGGTCCCTGAGATGTTGTTTTGTAAATTCCACAACCACTTCAGCTAGAAACTTGTTTTTCCTTGTATAGTTGGAATAGGCCCGATAGACCAAATCCATCTCCTCTTTTATTTTTTCCGCTTCGTTGCCAAGCAGTGGTGCTAATGCTCCCGCCAAAGTATTTCTCAGGTCCTCTCCAACTTCTTCTTTCAAACCTTGAAATCGGAGAGTTAGGTTTGATTTTTCCATTTGTAACATTAACAATTTGTTTTCCTGCTTTTCTTGGTATTTTTCCATTTTGCAGACCTTTTTCTTAACTGTCTGCACTTCTTCTGCTGATACCAGGCATTTCTTGGCAATATCATCCACCTTCTCAGCTGTTTCTGTCAGCTTTTTCTGCTGTAGTCCAAAGGCACTATCCATAGAATCAAGTTTTAAATTGATTTTTTGCAGTTCGGCCAGCAGATGGCGAGCAAGTTCACTGTCTGTTTGATTGACAGCAGTCCCAGCAGTGGAGGGGCTGGGACAGGAAGTCCTGCCTGACTTCTTCAGAGGCTTTTCTCCTGCTTTTCTCGTCCCCGCCATTTTACAAGTTTGTTTATACTTAGACAGTTCACGTCGCAAGTCTCTAGGGTAGCTCCCTCTTCTCTGTTTTACTGTCCCACCCAGAAGGTAAGGCGTTTATACAGTTTTTTGTTTCCTCCGATTTTTTGACGCTTTAAAAGTCTCTCATATGGGGAGGGGGGGATTCTCCCTTCTCCGCTTCCCTAGGAGGGGGGGGAGCCCTTTGCCGCTTTTAAATTCGGACGCCGACTTACAGTTTTTCGCATGCCTTCATTTTCTCTCGGGCTTTGCCGCTTCACCACTCCGCTCTACCGGTGGCGTTGCTATCCCCCTCATGGGGGCAAATGGCTAGCCTTGCTTCTTTAGGACCTGGGAGGGCCAGACGGTTTTGGGACCCCAGAATGTGTGGAGAAAGGCAGTCCCCTTAGGTAGGTAGGTCCTTGACCATATAGGGCTTTAAAGGTAAGAACCAGCATCTTGAACTGAATCCGATACGCTATAGGCAGCCAGTGCAGTGGTTTTAGGGTGGGCTGGACGTGTTCCCACACAGAAAGTGGGCTTCTAGGAAGTGGGCAAGTTCAGCTCTCCTTTGGCTCTTCCATCTCTCTGGTCCTGGGCAGGAAGTTTCCCCCTGCACTGATTAGGCGGGTGCCCCCTGTTTTGTCTCCCCAGGAAAGACAACGACAAGCACGTCTTCCACCTGCAGAGGAACCTCAAGGGCAAGGATCGCACATGGAAGAACGTGAAAAGGAAGCCGGTAATGCCTCCCTCCCTGCAGTCGGGCCTCCCTGGCCTTGAGGCTCCGCCTGTCAGTCCTGGCAGCCAGACCCCCCCCCCCCCCCAATATCTGGATGCTCATTGGCCCACTGGGTCCTGCTGGGAGGCCCGGTGACTGTGGCCACACTGCTTTGCCCCCTGGGGTTGGCCTTTAGGGTCACTGGAGTGCACCCCAGTCCCCTTGGCATGCTTCCTTCGGGGTGGACTGCAGACCCGCCCTGAGCAGCACCCACATGGGAGATTGACCTGTTTTTCCCTCCTCCAGCCTCTGCACAACTTCGGTACGCCAGTCTCGCAAAGAATGAACATCTTTACCTATGATGAAGGTAAACTTTCGTTTCTGCTTCATACAGGCCTCTAGAAGGATCCAGTGTGGTCCACGGTTTCTCAGTGCTCTCCTGGTGTTTGCAGGGTGGGCAGCCACGAGCCTCATCCCGCCGGGTCCCGGGACAGGGTCCCGCGACAGTTTCCTTCTCGGCTGTAAGAAGGAAGTTACCGGGGGTGGGGGTGGGGTGCTCTCCCTTTCCAGAGTGGTTTGGTGCCCAAGATTTCCACGGGTCTTGGCCACAGTTGAAGAGCAGCATGGGTCACCAGGCTCAGCGTCTTACCATGCAGGGAGGGACCAGTTATTTAGCCAGGTGTGCCATCCGATCACACAGAGAACTACCGGATGAAGGGATCACACAGAGGGTAAGGTTGTTTCTTACTGAAATCATCCCAAAAGGTTAAAAAGCAGGGTAGCTGTCATGACACAGGTGGGGTGTCACCTGCTGCTGCCACCACTCTGGTTCCAGGCTCCCTTGAGAAGGCCCAGAGCACCCTCCCAAGACCTTCAGACCTCCCTTTTGGCCGAATAACAGGCGTGAGGACCAGGCAGAGTGAACAATGAAATAGTTTATTGTATAGGTCGTCAAACAACAAGGTGCAGAATAATAACAGTAAGTGGGTGAAAAGAAATCAAATGCCTTAGATATATACTGTCCCTAGCTCACTATCTGCAGTGGCACTAGACTACTCACCCTTCCCTCAGGATGAGGGTCTCTCCCCTGCAGCAGCCTCCCTTCTGGCTCTGCCCTCTGGGAAGAAGAACAGCTTCTGCTCTGGCACCAGACCTTTTGTCCCCCAGCCCTCTTCTTCCCTATTGGTCCATTTTGGCTCCAAAACCTCTCAGGGGCTTCTAGGAGTTGTAGGCCCAGCCTCCCCTACTGCTAGCCAGGCTCCCTGGGCCTAGTAGGCCTCTGGTGGCACAGCCCAGATCATGACAGTAGCAAATTTGAGGAAACGTCTGTCGTAAAAGTACCAGACCTGAGGTGACTGAGTAGATCACCCGTCACCTGCAGCTGTCCTTTTTGCCGGTCCCCTCCTTCCTGAAGAAGTGCACTGTGGACTCATGAAAGCTCCCCCCCCCCCCCCAGCCGCCACAAATTTCATGAGTCTTTCAGGTGCTCCTGGACTCTGGCTCTTTTCGGCTCCCTCCGTTCCCAGAGACCCAACCAGGCCCTCGAAACCCAAACAAGCCGGCCAATCACGCCAGAGCTGTCTAACCCCCTTTTCTCTTTAGGGCGAGTCTGAACAAAACCGTCTTTATTTTTACCATCTGTTCTGGAACATCGACCCGAAAAGCCTCTTTGTGTTTCCCTCACACACATCCCTGCTCTTCTACACCTGATCTTATTTATTTATTATTTGTATTTATAGCCCACCCACCCCGTAAGCGGTCTCAGGGCAGGTAACATCATAGAAACAGTGCAATAAATACAATTAAAGTTAAACAAGTTAGGAATTCAAACAATAATAAACATTAAAACTCAGTCACTGACAGTCACTGGTTGTGCGGTTCTTCAGCATGTTATTTGGGTTAACAGACGGATCGGTGAGACAGCCACCTCCGGGAGGCCACAGAGAGACGCCCACTGCCTCAGCCAAAGGACTGGCGGAAGAGCTCCGTCTTGTAGCCAGTTTGGTGTAGTGGGTTAAGTGCGCGGACTCTAATCTGGGAGAACCGGGTTTGATTCCCCCACTCCTCCACTTGCGCCTGGCTGGATGACCTTGGGCAAGCCCTAGTTCTCTCAGAGCTGTCCTTGAAAAAGAGCCGTTTCTGTCAGAGCTCTCTCAGCCCCACCCACCTCACAGAGGGTGTCTGTTGTGGGGAGGGGAAGGGAAAGGAGTTTGTAAGCCGCTCTGAGATACCTTTGGGTAGTGAAGGGCCATGGGGTATAAATCCAATCTCCTCTTCCTCTTCTTCTTCTTCCTCCTCCTCCTCCTCCTCCTCCTCCTCCTGTAGGCCCTGCGGAATTGAAGAAGATCCCGCAGGGCCCTAATCTCGACTGGGAGCGTGTCCCACCAGGCAGGGGCCAGGGCCGAAAACATTTCTTGCCCTCAACCTTTATCAGTCCCCTGCTTTGGGTGTTGATGAACCCCAGCTTGAAGGGTAGCACGAGCAAAGCCCTGCCGCTGCCCTGCAGGCATCTCCCCCCCCCCCCCCCCCCGAGCAGGGAATCCGGCAGCCAAAGAGAAAAGGTGGGGTGGCACTCCTCTCTCTCCTCCCCCCCCCCAAACCCCTTCAGCACATCTTCCGGGAATTTATCCGCTTAAAATGCAGGTTTTTCAAACAATGACTTTCAGACGCTAAAATCCAGGGTTGTGTGTTCCGCTTCCCCAGCCATGACCACCTTTATGCAAAGACCGGCCACAAGAGGAGGACTGGAGGAAGTTCTAAGTCAGAAGTGGTCCTTGGGGTGAGGTGCCGTGCCTCTGGCTTTCTCTTGCTCTGCGCTGACTACCCGTGGAGCACTTGGGGGAGTCCGGAGGGGGTGCTTCCCAGCGGTGGCAGACTCCTGCCCCAGAAACCGGCCACTCTCCTTTTATTTATTTATTTGTTCACATTTGTACCCCGACCCTCCCAGCCTAGGGCGGCTTACATAAAATCTGCAAAAACATTTAATAATATAATTAAAACATTTAAAACAATGTTAAAACCATTACAGCTCCTTAATAAGTGCTAGGTCCCCGTAATAAAGTTCAGGATGGCTACCACCCGCTCTCTCTCTTCCCCTGGCTGGCTCGTAGGGGTCTCCAGGCGTCTTTCCCGGCTGCTCGTCCAGGCTGTTCATGTACATTCCCCTCCTGTCGTAGGTGTTCCGCTCCAGCTGAAGACCCGGCCGGTTTTCCCAGCCGAGAGAGGAGGAGCGTCTGATGAAGAAGAAGACGACGAGGGCGACGAGGACTTGTATTTCTCCACGTAGCTGGCCTCCTGCGTCTTTCCCCGCGTCTTCAGGCAAATTAGGGGTTTTGTTCCCCCTTCACCTGTCTTTAATGAATTGGGCAGTCAGGAGCCGGCTTCATTGACTGAACGCAATCCTTGGCTGCAGCCCAGTTCAAGCTGTTGGTATGAAAGGGGACAGTGTGCAGTTGTGTGTGTGTGTCTCTCTGTGTGTGTCTCTCTCTGCCACCCCACCCCGCTCCCCTGTTTATGGTGTCCTTTGACCCCCTGCCCCAGTGGCTGGGACAGGCTATTTTTTTTTTAAAGCAAAATAACGCGTTTTTTAAAGCTACTGTACAATAAACCTCCTGGAGCAGTTTGTAATATCAAAGAATTTTTTAAAAAGCTTGATAATGGTTGTATATTTTTATATTAAATTTGGATTGGCAGGTGCCAGGTGCTGTTGCAGATGCTGGTGTTTGGGAGATAAAACAAAGGAGTGCAAAGCCTGCACATTCCAGGTGGTTTCAGAGAGTCAGAGTGTTGTAGAGAGCCAGTTTGGTGTCGTGGTTAAGAGCGCGGACTCTAGTCTGTGAGAACTGGGTTTGATCCCCCCCTCCTCCTCCACTCGCACCTGGCTAGATGACCTTGGGTCAGTCACAGTTCTGACAAGAGCTGTCCTTGGAAAAGAGCCGTTTCTGTCTGAGCTCTCCCAGCCCCACCGACCTCACAGGAGGGTCTCTGTTGTGGGGAAGGGAAAGGAGTTTGTAGGCCGCTCTGAGACTCCAGGTGAAGGGTGGGGTATGAATCCAATCTCTCCTCCTCTTCTTCCTGTAGTGGTTGAGAGTGCTGGGCTATTATCTGGGAGATGTGGGTTTGAATCCCCACTTCTGCCAGGGAAGCTGGCTGGGTGACCTTGGGCCAGTCATGCTCTCTCAGCCCCACCTCCCTCACGGGACTGATGTGAGGCTAAAATGGAGGAGAGGAGGAGGAGGAGGTCAGCCGCTTTGGGTCCCCACGGGGGAGAAAGGACCCCGGGTGCCAGTGAAGGAAACAGGAAGAGTTCCCCGGCCGCGTGCCTCAGGGCTCGGGTGCGAGGGAAGGTGGCTTCCTCCAGAGCTGGGCCCGGCCGCTCCCGCAGTCCCTCACGGGTCCCTGAGTCCAGTTGACCTCTTCCTCCCTTCGCGGGAGCACAGCCTGCCTGTGCCGAACAGGCTCCGTTGGCAGCCCAGGGAAGGTGCCGGCCTTGGCCCCGAAGGCCCCCCGTGGGGTCTCCTCTCCTGCCAAGGGACCCGGGGGCGGGGGCTTCTTCACGGATCTCCAGGGAGGGCAGCTCTGAGACCAAGCCGTGTCGGGCCTGACTCCACGGCGCTTCTTTTGAGCTAGAGGCACACCTCACACAGACACCCCCCCTCTGACTGCCCGCCGGCACTTACCCTATCGGAGGGCAATCTGGATACGGAGTGAGCAGCTGTCCTGCCTCTGGCCAGAAGCAGGGAAGCCACAACCGGGTCCTTCGTCCTTCTCGGTGAGCTGTACCCTCCGGCCCCTAGCTAGGGTGGGCCCCGCCCCCTTAACTCAAAGCCACGCCCCACAAAACAGCCACGCCGGGGATTTAAATGTAAAGAGATGTAAAGAGATACACACACATATATGTTCAGATATTTTAAAGTCATGCTGGCCAGCAGGTGAGTGGACAACCAGCTCTCCACCTACCGGCCAGGGCAAGAGGCAGGTGAGAGCGGCTGCTCCGGGCTCCCCCCCCCCCCCCACACCCCCTCCCCCCCCCGCGCCCCTGGAAGCCCACAGGCAGGGTCTCCTCCTCCTCCTCGTGGGCCAGAAAGGGAAGGGGCCAGGCGGGTCCTCTGGAGACCTCACCACCCCACACGGCACCCATGATGCCTCCTCCTTGCCCCCTGCTGACTTCCTGGCCGGCAGGCCTTGCTTCAGCTCTCTCAGCCCGCCTCTGCTGGGCCTCTACTCCAGCGCCACCGCTGCCGCCGTGGGACGCTACCCCCAAGCCACTGACCAAGGTCATTTAATTTAATTTAATTTAATCGACTTCCCCCTTAGAAATCTAAATGCCCCCCCCCCCCCCCAAAAAAAAACCACGACCCGGCCCCCCCCCGACCTCTTTACTGCCAGTTATAGGGTTATAGTATTAATAGGATTCCCAACCTCCAGGTGTTGGCTGGAGATCCCCTGGAACGACAACTACATGTATAGCATATTTATTGCTCATTTATTTTGAACATTTGTTCCACTTTTCCTGGAGACAATTGCTGTTTTGGAAGGTGGACTTTATAGTACTACACCCTACTGAGGTCCCTCCCCTCTGTAAAGCCCATCCTCTCCCAGGCTGTACCCTCAAATTTCCAGGTGCTTCTGAACCCAGAGTTGGCAACCAGAAGGGGCGAGGAGGGCTGGTTTGACCCCGAGATCTGCTGAGGAGTGGTGTGGGTCACGGTCCGTGGTAAAATGTCTCCAGTACTTGGCACTGCATTGTATGGCACACACGGCCCAACCCGACAAAGTAGCGTTTCTGTCCGGCCCGGCCCCCCTTAAAAATGAGCTCGGCCCCTCTGGTCTGAGGTCACTCTGCGTGTCTCCATGGCAGCGGGGAATCTGAACCGGGGTGTCCCGGATCCTGCTCTAACCACTGCACGACACGCCCTTTGATAGGCCACTCCGCGCCCCCCCCCCCCCCCCCCCCCCCTAAGGAGGTGATCATCTTCTACCCCCCATCTGCTTTCTCCCCAGTGTGGATCCAGAGATCTCACGTGGGTCTCCTGTCCGCAGTTCTATCCTCACAACGACTGAAGCGGGTTAGGCTGCAAGTGTGACTGACCCAAGGTCACGTCCACGGGCATGATTCGAACCTGGGTCACCATGACCCTCGTGTGACATGCCGACAACCGTACCACCCTGGCTCTGATGGGTCAGGAAGGGGTCCGGCTTCCTTTGCTCTGGCTTAGAGGGGGGGGCGCATTGTCTGCCCTCCACGTCTGGGGTGCCTGGACCCTTTTTGGGGGGCTTCCGTCGCCAATCCCACAGGCAGGTTCCAACCCCCCCACAGCCATCCTGAAACGGGAGGCCAGTTCCGAGAGGCCCACCTTTATCCCCTGAGGAGTCCTGCCTGCCACAGAGAACCTTTGTTTCCGCTGTAAATAAGCACGGGGTCCGCGGGTCCGGCGATCACATGGCCCAGGGCGTTCCAGTTCCCTTAAATCTCTCGCGCTGAAGCTTCCATCCTCCTCCTCTCCCTCCACTTGGCTTGCTAAATCCACTCAGCAAGCCGGAGAATTGGCCCACCCTGCCTGGATTCTCTCCTGTCAGAGGAGGGCCTGATGTCCTTGCTGTTTTACAGCGGATTTTGGAGTATGACGAAGGGATGGAGAGATGGACTTGGTCTTCGCCTCTGCAACTGGAAACACTGGCCGGGCGGCTGTGATCCCACAAGGTGGAGAAAGCCAGCACTCACGACAGGAAAAGTAGCAGGCAAATGAGCCGGGTGGCGATAGGTCCAAGAGCCACGGGTCAGGGAGGACCAGATCTCAGCCAGGATTTCAAGCTGGATGGGCTGCCCTCCGTCCGTTGCAAGTGTCAAGGTACAAGATAACCCGTCCAGCATCACTCCCATAGTTGGCGGGCATTTCAGAAAGACACACTGGATGCTGATTATCCCTCTGAAGAGCAGGGGGAGAAACGGAGGAAAAGCCGATGAGCAGCATCCCACAAGGTGGCAGCAAATCTCTCTCTCTGCACCCCTCCCAACCTCCAGAAAGAGCCGCGTAGCCCAAGGGGGGGGGGCAGCGCCCAAGGAGAAGGCTGGTGCCACACGCAGTTGCTGGGACCCCACCACAGTTCTAGCCCAGCAGGCTTTCCCTCTCTTTGACTCCTGCGACACTGCCTTCCGCTCTGCTCTGCTTTCCACCTTCATACCATCTTCCTAACTGTCAGAGTGGTTGAGCAGTGGGACAGACCGCCTCGGGAGGTGGTGGATGATCCTTCGCTGGACGTTTTCAAGCGGAGGCTGGACGACCATCTTTCAGGTATGTTGCAGGGCTCTCTTTCGGCTGTGCTCCTGCAGAGTGCAGAGGGGGTTGGACTCGATGACCTGCAAGGTCCCTTCCAACTCTCACATTCTATGATTCTATTCTCTCTCGCTCCGGATTGCAAGACTAAGTCTAATGGGTGGAAATTACAAGGGAGTCGATATACCAGCTAAATATCAGGAGAAACTTCCTAACTGTCAGAGTGGTTGAGCAGTGGAACGGACTGCCTCGGGAGGTGGTGGAGGCTCCTTCGCTGGAGGTCTTCAAGCGGAGGCTGGACGACCATCTCTAGGGTATGTTGCAGGGCTATCTTCTTTCGGCTCTGCTCCTGTAGAGTGCAGGGCTGGACTAGATGACCTGTAAGGTCCCTTCCAACTCTCACATTCTGTGATTCTATTATCTTTGCTCATCTTTTGGGCAGCACCACTACAGGACAGGGCAGACTGCATGCAGAAGAGGAAACTGCAGAGGTCCCAGGAGTTGGGCAAGAGGGACTTCCTTCCTGTTCTGTGCCTTCTGCTGAAATCACGCGTTTACGGGAAGGGGAGCATTCCTTCTCCCAGCTCTTTCCACTGCTGCGGAAAGGCCCTCGGCAACCGATTTGCCCTCTTTTGCAGAAGCAGCCTCCGTTCCCCCAGAGGGCCTGCTGTGCTCTCACAGACAGACTTTACTGTGGCTCAAGAAATGCACTCCCCATGGGGTGAGAATGGGCTGGATGGACAGCCACTCATTCTGTTTACACTGCAAGGGCCCTGATGAGCAAGCCCGCCCAGTGAATAAGCATTTTGCCCCAGAGCGTCTACTGATAAGGTATGGTGGGGGTGAGGCTAAGGCTTCCCTGTGCATTCCAGTTTGGGAAAATTGGCACCCAACCGTGTTCTCTGCAGAGGAGCTCAAGGCCCCCATTCCCAGCACAAGTGCCTGTTCAGCAAGACAAAGGTTGCACTCCTGGACCTCTTCTGAGGGCACCTGGTGCTTTTGGCCACTGTGTGACACGGAGTGTTGGGCTGGATGGGCCACTGGCCTGATCCGACACTGACTTCTCTTATGTTCTCTTAAATGACAACTCTGTAACAACCTTCTGTGGAAGCAAACAGCACTGCCTCTCTCCTGTGGGCAGTGTTCCCTCTAAGCTGAGTGAGTGTGAGCTAGCTCACAGTTTTTTAACCTCTGGCTCACACATTTTTGTCTTAGCTCGGGAGGAGGGCTCCAGAGCAAATTAATTTATGCAGTGGCCAAATCGCTCGCTCACAACTTTAATGCCAGGAGCTCACAAAGTAGAATTTCTGCTCACAAGACTCCGCAGCTTAGAGGGAACATTGCCTGTGGAAACGGGAGTCCCAAGCACCTCCATGTGCTCCAAGCTAGTCAATATTGCTGCTGGAGACAATTTACTGGCAGCAGATGCACTCGGCAGATCCCTGGGCCCCGGCAGAACTGTAGGTCTGGTTCTTTCTCGGTGAGGCCCTTGTATTGGTGGCTCCGTTTGTCACCAGGTCGATTGTTAGCCAAATTGCCTTGAATTCGCAATTAGTCTAGGGGAAGTTATGGTTATTAATTGGCAATAGGCAAATTAGGGTTCACGCCAATGTATACAGAAGTCCCACCTTTGCTGTAAGTACCAGAACAGACACAGAGACTATGATGGGTGAAATACAATTTCTTTTACTGGTAGAGATGTCTCAATCAAACAAAACACACACACTCACACAATTATACTGATACTAAGAAATATAGATAGATAATTATCACGTTTGCACGAGCAGGATATTCGTTGGTTGGGTGCTATTTACCTGTCCTCATTGATTGAGACGTTCCCATGGAAGAATGGAGGGGATAAGAATGGGGAACATCATGTGCTCTGAACCGGCAGAACCACGTGGACTCTAGCTGCAGACTAGAGTTTAAAGGTAGAGGTAGAGTATGTGGACAGCAAGCTGGACATAAGAGGGTTAAAGCTTCGATAGGGGTCCTGGCGAGGGAGAGAGAGACCATGTGGTCCGTCAGCATCTTTTATAACGTGGTGGGGGGGGGACTGGCTAGGCTGGCCACATCCCCCTGTGACACCTCCTGTTAGTCCGTCCCATAAAACATACTATTGGCTGGCTGGAAGAGGAGAGGGGGACTAAGAAGTGGTCAATATTGAGAGCTAGTAACTTGGTCTGGGGACTGGCACCTGGATGAAGAGTGAATCATCAGGCTAGGGCTATTGTCTCTTGAGGCCCTAGCCCGCTGGCTGATGGGTGAGCGATTAGTTGCTAAGCAACTATTATTAGAGTCTCAGAGCTACGTGCAGCTTTGCAGGTCTGGAGGAGGGGGGGAAGGGGTTGCCTACATGTGCTGGAAGAGACTCCGAATGGCGTCTGGAGTTCTCTGTCCTCCTGTCTTTCCATGGCGTGGCATCTTGAGGCTTGGTGCAGGCTTATGGATCTGCTTCATCCTGCAGCAGGCGAGACGGCTGGTGACTCTGGACCATCACTGGGGCAGCGACGCTAAAGGAAGGTGTCCCTCTTTCAGGTGTGCAGTCTCAACAGGTATCCCCAGGTCTCCATGTTAGACTATCCCTTTGCGCACTCCATACAGTTCATAGAAACGCATTGATAGGCTTGCATGGCAACAAGTTGCTCTCCTGCTAGTGTTTCTGGCCTGCTGGAGGTTTCAGCCCCATCGACTCCGGCCCAGGCTTGACGGGCTGCCCTCCTCTGGGACGTCCCACTTCCTGATCCCTGCGGAGTTGCCGCCTGGCCGTCAGCCACCCCTATTCAACACTGTTGGGTGGACGTGAAT